GTTAACCCTAGACTTGAACAGAGTAAGGTTGTAGCTATCGGGGAAGCATCCTCTTGGGAGTCGGTTCCACAGGGCAGTAGTTCGTGTTCAAGTCGAACTTACATCTCACCAGTGGAATACAAAGAGAATGAGGTTGGTTCACTACAATGTGAGTGGAATGCCGGATTTTAGCCGTGAAGTTTAGAAGTGGTGGGTCTAAGGAACGTACTTCGTTTGAACACATCCCATGGAAATAACGAAAAGACAGCTAGAGACTTCCGGCGTTTCGTTCGTAGGAAAGGAGTTGTAGGATTGAAATGTTTATAATACAAAGAAATTGCTTCTACATATCAGAAATAGAAAACTGAAACACTTGATGGCAGTGTTATATTCCGAGCTAATAGGAATATATACTTGAAAAACAAGGTGGATAAAATAAGGAAAGGTTTATTGTAAAAACCAGTACAATAAGAATAAAGGTACAGTTATACACAAGGTTGTCGAAAGTCAATCCACTAGTGAGTGCTTCTATTGGAAGATGGGTAGTTCTGTCGTAAGTCTGAGTCGTGCTCAACAGATCCCAGCTCATAATATTTACCAACCTTCCTACGGGGCAGGATGTGGCTCAAAGCCGATTTTATGTAGGGCAAAAATTTCACGTAGAACCCGTATAAACCAATTCGGGTCTGTTTACCCTCCCGGACGAGACTCTATCCTGCAGCATCGCCTCGTCTGCTCGGAAGCAGAGAGTTCGACCATCACAGCTGAAAAGATTTCAGCTAGTCGGTATTTACTAACCCCACTCCCACGAGGGTAGATGCAGCACAAGGCCGACTTTAACGTGGGACATCCGAGCCCTTAGGTAGACCGTCCCAATCCCGCTTAAACGGAATCGGGTCGGTCTACCTCCCCGAACAAGACTGCCCTTCGGCATAGCCTCGTCCGGGTTCTTCTCCGCTCAGAGGCAGAGAGTTCGATCAGCAAACTGAAAAGTATTTCAGCTAGAATATTTGCCATCCGCCCCACGCGGTAGGTAGTAGCACAAGACTCTGTCCTTCAGGATAGCCTCGTCTTGGTTCCTCTCTGCCCGAAGGCAGAGAGTTCAACCGTATAGCTGAAAAGATTTTAGCTAGAATATTTAGCCCCCCCACCACCACAACCACCATGTGGCACAAGGCCGGGTTTAACGTGGGTTATCCGAGCCTGTAGGCTCGGCCAAAAAAATGCCCGTAGAAACCGTATAACAGCATAGGGTTGGTCAACCTCCCCGAATGAGACTCAGCCCTTCGGTTGAGCCTCGTCCGGGTTCCTCTCTGCTCAGAGGCAGAGAGTTCGACCGTCTAGCCGAAAAGATTTCTGCGAGACTCTATAGTCCGTTGACTTACAGCTACTTATAGTGTAGTGACTCATTGAGATGACAGTTTATTCCATTACATCAGACACAAAATAAGGAAAGAAGGTCTGAAGAAATTAACGCACAGCGTGCATCGAAGACAAGAGATGCCGAAGACTCCAGTAAGAAAATAATCAGGCAAATTTGAGTAAATGACTGGATAATACAATCTTCTCACTCACTCGTTTATTCTTACAAACGATCGGAGAAAATTCGTCTTGTAATGTCGCGAAAAAAGAAAGAAAGCGATAAAGAAATAGCACCTAAAAGTCACTAATGCTTTGTTGGGATTTTATTTATTTTAAAAATGAATTAAGGGCAAGAATAAAATACAGGATAATTATGGTGTGTGATTGTAATTCTGTGAAAGTTTTGACATGCGTACTGAGTAATTTAGTATCTTGTCGCCATTTAAACTTCTTCAAAAGGACACTTCTCTTAGAATAAGAAAGTGATTTCTGAGAAACAAAATGTGGAAAGATACTTGGAAAATTTGATACTCACATGACCTACTGAAGAGAGGGAGGGCAATCATCGAGTAAACATTCTAACAATTTGTGTAAAAGACAGATCAGAGTCACCGGGATAATAAAAAGAAACAAAACTTTGCTAACAGCTACAAAGGAGAGGAAGTTGTGTAGATCCATGAACTCCACGCCCTAAAGGGTCACGGCACATATGTTTTATTAATTTTAAATTCTTTTATCTAAATGCGTGTTTTTGCCAGCAATGTTAAATTTCAACAAGCTATTTTTTTAAATAGTTATTGGTGTATTAATGGCTAGAGATTTCGATCCTCATTGGGTGAACCATATAAAATTCGTCATCAGTGAGAGTAGTCATATCATAAAACCATGCAATATCGTAACTTCTGAGACTGTTTGATGGAAGCTTAGTTTACTAGGAATATCTTGATTAGCATATTTTCATCTATTAAGCGTGCTACTAGGCTGGCATTTAGTTCTCACCCCTTTTTACTGTTGAAATAGCTAAATGCAATCATCACTTCGACTCCAACAATTTGTTCTCGCACTTCTCACCTGTGGAACTCTCTTCCATTTCTTTGTTTCCTTAATAACTAATCTTCAGAAATTTAAATGCAACGTCAATCCACATTTTCAGTTTTTTTTTTAATCCCGTTCATCTTTTGTCATTCATCAATCTTTCCTATACTAAGTTTTTTCTTTCTCTTTCACTCTCTGTAATCCCCCGCGTAGTAGTGGCATTCTCTCCTTGCTTGGGGTGAAATGATTTTTTTTTTTTAAATTCTTTTATTACAACTCCCTGACCGTGCATATTTTTATTTCTCATATTAAATTCTTCTGGGAATAAGGTGTATGCGTTCGAGCCTTGGGAAGGATAATGCTTTATTTGTTATCCATGCCGCTTACTAATCAAAGTAATATAACGATCTGAGAATTGGAATAAAAAAAATGAAATGAACAGTAAAGAAATCCTATTCAAATAATACATTTTTTTTTATCGCACTGTATAGGAAGTGAGGATGTAGCTTGATTTGTACATATCGATTCTTTTCAAGTTATTTAATGTCTAATTTAGTATGGAGAACTCGGTAAAAATAGACAGGAGTAATAGCCGCTTAATATGAGTGCACGTCAAGGCGCCTGGCCATAAACATCTCTAGAAAATTATATTTCGGTTATTTTCCAAGCGAAAAAAAACAAAAAACAACTTTCCCAATTTTTACTATGATTTTCACATTATTTACATTATTCGGACTATATATCCTCATCTTTTCTGCCATATTTACTACAACGTTTCAGCCATTGTACGCTTTGGCTCTCTTCAGGTACTTGGAATGTTGAACTTGACCCTTTATTTCGCTCACTGGGGTAGACTTTTCTAGTTACACGTGCCATGTTTAATGGATGTCAGTTATCTCCTGTTAATTCCCCTCTCCAAGTTCCCCACTGCCTTAACCGGGTATTGAACCCACACTCTTTGGGTCCTGTCACTGGATCTAACTAACGCTTTAATCCACTCTGTCCTTGAGGACATCTGTGTATAAATTTCTGGGTACTATAAATCTAATATCTTCAGCAACCATTTTTACCAGTGCTCATATTGCAATTTTTGCTGTTATCATTGGCGACAAAGATGAGGACAATAGTTCGAATAATGTAAATCGTGTACATAATACCTGATCTCAGAAATATAGACAGATATGAGAGGCACTCGATGTACTGGGTTACAGATTAAGATGCACATAACTGGGGAAGATAACTGTTAATGGTTTAAATATTGTAGTAATCATGAAGGTTGTAGTAATCTTGACATTTGTCTTAAACGAATGGAAGTCGGTTCAAAAAAGAAGCTTCTCGAATTGAACTTCCATCTCATTGATAGAATACGAAGGGAATGAGGCTGGTTTGCTACAATGTTAGCCATGAAGGAATGCAGTTCGTCAGCACACTTTTCTTGGAAACAACGATAGAGCAAAGAAAGGCTTGCGATGTTTTGTCTGTGTGAAAGGGCTTGTAGAGAGGATAATTAATCACGGAGACTCTATCGAAACTAGAAATTGAAGTCAGGACACTTCCTGTCGTCAGACTCCATTGATAGGCTCTTGTAGATGAAAGCAAGAGGAGCAAGTTTCGGCATTTCAAATTAACACATTAAACAAATTATTTAAAACAATTGTAGCAGCTACCAAACATTGAAAAAAATCAATCAGAAAAAAAGCTAGATATATAGGTATATAATACATTCATCTGATTGGTGTAAAATGATCCATTAGTGTTGACACACCGTTAAACAAAATCTAACCAAAGAGCCAAGCCTTTTAACCTCCACTATGTGGCCCAGAAATTCCAACAGTACTTTCTCAGCATCCTTCTGTACAAACTTCCTGCTGACCTGGGTATGAAAATAAACTACATCCGCATCCTGAGTAAGACGATAAAAATACATCTGACACCAAGTCCTCTGATCAGGAGGTTTTAAGGAGTGTGGACCGCCGCCTCTTAGTTCCCAGGTTCACCTTGACCTGGGGTGGTGACACTTGTTGGGATCCCGGTTATGGGTAAGTGGTTAACCCCCAAACTGGAGTCAAGACACTATAAAAGTGTAAAAATAGGTTTTAATACGAGAAATACTTTGTTAAAAAATTATTAACAGCAATATATTTTTGAAAAAACAAAAAAAATTACCAGTAATAAAAAATCTTTTTGGCATTAAATAACGTATTGAGGTTGATATGCCGTAAAACAAAACAAACTTCCTGTTCATGTATGAGGAAACTGTCTAACATTCACGGCCATCATAGAGAATTGTAATTAAAAAGTAGTTCGCATTACATTACGAGGGGTAATTTCCTGTTTCTTTTTAACTTTTCGAAGAACTTTCCTGAGAACTTCTAACCGAAAGTTTACTCTACAAGAAAAAAATAACCCTGAATATATTTTCGCATCTTTCCATTATAAATTGAAATGCAATGAGACTCGATATCGCATCAATAAATATTATTTTTTTGTCGGCAAACACATCTTCCGTTACTTTGCCACGTTGCTGAGAAACACATGGATATTGAGTTATACCATCAATAAATAATCCGTTGTATAATCCCCGTCATTCATTATTTACAATACAGAAAGACAACTTGTCTAACTTAAAATGTGTTAATGATTTTTTTTTTCTTCTTCCGAATTATATTTACTTGGCTTGGCATTTGTCTTAAAGGAATTCCTATCAAAACAAAAACATCAGTTAAAACTTTTGTGTCTTCATTGCAGGTAGAGAAGCGTGAGCTGCTTAGATAGATATGACAAGGCTTACGCAGGTAGATAGATAGGAAAAGGCTTACGCAGATACGCTGATAGATAGGTAGGGAAATGCTTACGTTGATAGATAGATAGATAGGAAAATGCTTACGTTGATAGATAGATAGATAGAGAGATAGGAAAATACTTACGTTGATAGATAGATAGGTAGGTAGGAAAATGCTTACGTTGATAGATAGATAGATAGATAGATAGATAGGAAAATGCATACGTTGATAGATAGATAGATAGATAGATAGATAGATAGATAGGAAAATGCATACGTTGATAGATAGATAGATAGGAAAATGCATACGTTGATAGATAGATAGATAGGTAGTAAAATGCATACGTTGATAGATAGGTAGTAAAATTCTTACGTTGATAGATAGATAGATAGATAGATATGGAAAATGCTTGCGTTGATAGATAGATAGATAGATAGATAGATAGATAGGAAAAGGCTTACGTTGATAGATAGAGAGATAGATAGATAGATAGGAAAAGGCTTACGTTGATAGATAGATAGATAGATAGATAGATAGATAGATAGATAGGAAAATGCTTACGTTGATAGGTAGGAAAAGGCTTACTCAGATACGCTGATAGATAGGAAAAGGCTTACGTTGATAGATAGATAGATAGATA